GAAACACACGTGCGCATGTGCACACGGTTTATGACGTAAGGGTAAAATGGAAATTTTTCTTTTTCTGTAAAGAAACAAAACTTCATTAAGACAAGAAAAATAATGAAATGCAAAACCAAGAGAACAGGGAAGTCCACCCGGATAAAAAATCATAAAAATGGAACAAAACCAAGAGAACAATCCAAAAATAAAATAAAGTACATCAAGAACTGCCACTCCGTATCCAAATCCGAAAAGTGCAAATTCCTAAGGGCCCATTTCAGAGCATTTTCAAAACGGTTTGGTTTCGGTTATGACAAAGGAAATGAGATTTGATTGAGAATGTTAATGGAACTAGTTCTTAAATTGTGTTTGGTTGTTTTGTTTTAAGTATCAGAAAAAAGTGAAAACAGCCACTAAAGTCTTGATCTTCATGCAACCAAATTGCGACCCAAAATTTCACTTTGTCCCATACTTCATAGATTCTTCCTTTCAAGTCTTCAAAAACATAGAAGTGTCCACTAGGAAGTCAATACTTTGTTTAACATTTTGTCATAAGTGAGATAGAGCATTTCTCCACTAGGAAGTCACAAGTGTATTCTTGATTGTCAAAATTACAACTTTGTTTACAATAAAGCAATGAATAACACTAACTAAGAAGAGCAAGATACACACCTTATGTTCATTAACATTTATGATAGTTGGGACTTTCATTTAACTAAGAACAACAAAATGGACAGAAATCCAATACCTTCCAAGGCCAAAGAGTGGTGATAGCAGTCTCAGCCATAGAGAAAAACGCAGAGAGACCCAAAAGCACTGCCAAAATTAATCCTTGTTCTTTGAACACCTGAAGAACCTGCAAAGTCTTTGGCCAAGCATTTCTCAGCAACAAAATGCTCTGCCCAATAACGCCATAGCCAGCATTCACAACTCCCTCAGTCGCAAAAGCCCTTTTGCAGCCATAAACCAAAACCCCACAAACCATTGCCACCAGAACTACCCCACTCTTCAAAATTCCCCTCAAAAACGCAAAATTTAAACCCAAATTCCCATTTTCGCCGCTCAAGGCTTTACCCATTGGTCTCAAGCGCTCTTTTGCAACGTAAAAATCGTTTCTTTTACTCCGAAAGCTCCTGAATTCACTAGAATTATAGGATAAAAGAAATGGGTACCGATTATTTTGCGGGAAAGTTGTCGTGGGCATTCTTAATCGGGTGTTGTAGTGGAGGAAACTCAGCGATTTCGAGCCGATGATGAACTTGGGCGGGCTGAGGATGGAAGAATCAAGCGCCATATCCATGGATTTTGAGCTGAATCCAATATTCCTAATGTGGGTTCAGAGCTTTAAAACCGATGAAATTTCAAGCTAACATTTTGACTCGAGAGTAGTGGATATATATATGTATGTAGAGGGCATTTGTTTTGCTTTTTCTGAATGAGAAAATGTGGATTAACAGAAAACGATGAAGAGAGAGAGAAAGAGAGAGAGAGAGAGAGAGAGAGAGAGAGAATTGCAGTACTTGAGATATTTGGTTTGTAATAATCTTGTGCATATCATCAACCTTATGTATGTTGGAGAAATCTCCGCTGAAGAAAGAAGCTCAAGGAAGTCCTGCTTGCTTTTGCTTGGTGAAGCCAAGTTTGGCAGAGGCATGTTGCATGTTGTAACCGTCTGAAATGACCATATTGTCCGTGTGAGCCAAATATATTTTTTTGGATTATTTTCATCGATGCCCCCAAGTATGGACCCTTTGCAATGTACCCCTAATTTTTTAAAGCTGTTCAAAAGATTCCCATAATATGTAGAAAACCATTTAAAACGCCCCTCCGTCCACTCCCGTCTATAATCCTAATGTAATGTTGACGTGGCATGTTAGGGCACCAAAAAAACGAAATCAAAACGAGAGAGGGGGGTGTTTTAGAGCTGCGAGAGGGGATGTAACGCTAGAGGTTTGGGCATGGTCTTTGATCATGGATGGTGGTGGTGCCAACAAGGAAGGGGATAGGCAGGTCCTGTAGACGGGAGTGGTAAATTTTAGTATAGTTGAGGGTTTCTTTATTTTCTTTTTATTTTTTTTATATTTTAGAGTAAATTGTAACGTTGCACTCCAACCTTTTTCTTTTTATATAATGGACCTCAAATTTGTAACTTTAGTAAATTGCACTCTGAATTTTAAAATCAATAGTAATTGAGATTTAACAGCCAATAATCGTTATAAAACTGATGATTTAAGACTTGAAATTTGCACATAAAACGCAAATCTCGTCATTTTCCAAACCATATCATGCATAAATTTCACGACTCAAACTGTTACTTTGATATCGCCAAAACTATGGACACTTCAATTGCTATTGATTTAAAGTTTAAGGTGTAGTTTGCCAAAATTAAAAATTTAGTGTCCATTATGTAAGAAACAAATAGTTTGGGGTGCAATTTACCCTTTTATTAATGTTTAACAGCATGCTGATGAGTGCGTAATTTATGCACTCATTCGTTACTCCTTTAGCTAGTTTTGGCGTGTTTTTCCTCAAGTTGTTATGTGGATTTGATGACTTTCCCTTGAGTGTGTAGGAAAGGGTGAAATCGCTGAGTTTTGAGGCATTTTCGATCAAAAAGACAGAGAACGAGGCGATATGGTGCCTTCAGATGGCGATGCGACTCGAAAAGGAGCAAAATCGAGCAAACCTGTGCGAAGGACCAGAGAGGGATGCAATATGTCGCCTCCTTTGTGGAGATATGTCGCCTCCTTTAGGCGATATGTTGCCTATTCTAGGGGATATGTCGCCTGATTTACCCGATTTCATTAGAAACACGCGTTTTGCCCTAGTTTGGTGCAGGAACTCTTATGGAAAGTGAGAATTAGCTTCTTGGGGATGTGTTGGACGTGGAATATAAGGAGGAGAGGCCGAAAACTGAAGGGAAGGAGGAGAAAAAGGGTTTGCAAAAGAAGAAAAACTGAATCGGAGAGGATTTGAGGGAAATTCCAGCGATTCTTCAAGAATTCCAAGCGTTCTTCATTCTTTTCTTATCTTTCTTCTTGTATTTTTCTGAGTTTTGAATATTATTTTGAGATTTTGAACCACATGATATGTGGCTAATTTTCTTATTTGTTAGGGTTGAGATGAATCTCTATTTGTGATTATTGTTTCGACGTTTTAATGTGCATTTAATTAAAGCTCTTCGTTTCTTTCGTGTTCTATTTTGAATTATTGCT